CAAAAATCCCATGATTAATCCAATCAATCGTCCATCGGGTCGCTTGCGTCCCGCTCTGGGGATAATCACCGTCATAGCCCATTTCCTCCTCCTGCTATTCCTCCTCCTGCTCCGTTGGTAGGTAGGCAGGCAGGCAGGCAGGCAGGCAGGCATGACGGGGTTTCCCTAATAACCAGTGCCGCACCAGCTGCCCGTAGTCATGCATGGCAGAGAAAGCCGACACGTGATCAGACGTGAGCAAGCTGCCGGGACGATATGCCAAATCTGTGACACCAGGATGGAACGATTTACTATGGACGTCGTTGCTTGGTGACTAACAGCAAGGGCAGGCAGGTAGGTACGAGGCAGGAGAAAAGAAGTAGTAATTAGGCCGTGGTAGGGTATGAATGGCTCTGTCTGCCCTTAACCACCCTCCTTCATGCTGCTGCTGACTGCTGCTGCTGCTGCTCCTGCTCTGCTTGCCTCCTCCTTTCTCTCCCTCACACATGGGAGGAAAGAGGCGAGCTTAATGCCCAGGTTGGAAACAGAGGCTGGCCAGGCAAAAGTATACTAATAATAATAATAATAGTAGTAATGAGAATGTGGTGGCCACCCCACCTGTAGACCTCGTGGAGTGGAGAGACCTACCCGCTCAAATTAAGCATATTAATAAGCGGAGAAAAGAACCAACAGGGATTTCCCTAAGTAAGGGGACTGAACCGGGAAGAGTCCCATCGCATAACCTCCGTGTCCTAAACCCGGCACGAGGGGTGTTTGCGTTTCCGGAGGGTCCAGCACGCCGTGCCATAACCGCCTAAGTTAGAGCAGTGAATGCAGGCCCACTGCCCATGGAGGGTGTCAGCCCGTTGGCGGTCGCCCGCGAGGTAAAGATGGCACGGTCGGAAGGGCCCTCCGTAGAGTCGGGTTGGCTTGATAGTGCAAGCCCAAAGCAGGTGGTAAACTCCATCTAAGGCTAAATAGTGACCACGAGACCGATAGCGAACAAGTAACCGGTGAGGGAAAGTTGAAAAGAAACATGAAGAGAGAGTTCCAAGAGTACGTGAAACCGTTAAGAGCCAAACGGATGGAACCTTGAAGGTCGACCGAGGGATTCAGGCGGCCGACCTCGGGCTGGTGCGGCCTCTCTGTCTGTCCCGCCGTTCAGTTCGGAAGCAGCGACCCACGAATGCTTGGGCGTGCCTGCCAGCAACCCACGCTGGCCACGTCGGCCGCGATTATTCCCCGTTGTAGGCGCCGCGACCCGTTGCTGGGGACGTCGAAGGCCCGGAGGACTGGTAGCCTGAGTCTTCTTCCTTTCCTTTTCTTCTCCTCTTCCGCTTGCCTACCGGCAGCGGCGGGTGGAGAGAATACACGGGAGGTGGAGGAGTAGGAGATTGGCGAAACCGGCCGTGGAACCTGGCGTCCTGCGATCGGTCGCAAAGAACGAGCCAGCCCGTGCAAGCGGGCTGTCTCTCGCGGCGTGCAAAGAGATCGGGTGAAACCATCCGGACCCTCTTGAAACACGGAACACAAGAGTCATAACATGTGTTCGAGTCAATGGGCGCACTAAACCCAAAGGCCTAATGAAAGTGACAGGCCTGCGTGTGCACCCCTTTCAGTGGTGCATGGGCTGGAGCCGGGGCCGACCCCTCGGCCGGGTGCTGCCTCTGCTGCCTCCAGCCTACCATCCGGCCACAAGACGGTAAGCACTGTCGAGTTTTTTTCCCATTTGCCTCCTGTCGGACAGGAGGTGCGGCTAAGGAGGGTGCTGGCTGCAGGGAATGCGATGGCGTGAAATATCCTCCAGCCTGCATGTATGTATGTTTGCAGGAAGGGAAGGGGCTCAGGCTCGGGACTTGCTGTGATGTCGCCCTCGTCACCGCCGTCGCCGTTGTCGTCGCGAGACGTGCGTGCGAGTGTGGTGTGAGGCGGCAGGCAGGGAGCAGCAAGTACCAAGAGCAGACAATTTGGGACGCCGAAAACGATGGTGAAACTATGCTGGCCAGGATGAAGCCAGAGGAAACTCTGGTGGAGCACCGTAGCGATTCTGACGTGCAAATCGATCGTCTGAGCTGGGTAACATAGGGGCGAAGACTAATCGTGAATCATCTATAGCTGGTTCCCTCTGAGTTCCTCAGGATAGCTGGAAATCTCAGGATTTTAATTTCATCCGGTAAAGCGAATGATTAAAGAGGTGTTGGGACGGAAACGTCCTCAACCTATCTTCAAACTTTAAATGGGAGATGTCCGAGCCTTGCTTGAAAAAAATAATGAAGCTCTGGCAACTAATTATGAGTAACCTAGTGGGGCACAAT